TAAAATTTTTTATTTCAAAAGAAAGAAATAAGAGTGGGAGAGGAACAAGATTAGAAATTCCTATAAGCCCATTCAGTCCAAGGAGATGCTATGCTATTACTGACGGGGGCAAGAGGAGTGGGTGTCTGCAATATTGCCAAAACTGGGGTCCCTGACCCCAATCTGCCTCAAAGAGAAAACCTCTCATGACACAAAGCAAGTCATTCCCGCTGAGCCAAGCTACACTAAATGTGAATTCTTTATTGCAAAACTTCGGAGGTAAGAACTTTTTCCAGACATCTGTGGAATTAGTATTAATGAGAGTGCCCTGGAGTTCAGAGCTGCGCCAATGCAGCAGAAACTTCTCCGCCAAGCAACTGCTGGGCACACTTCTTGATGAGATGTCTGAGCCCGAAGGCATCAAAAAAGTACATTTCCATATTGGGAACATAACGGTTTCCTCTTTAAGACTTTTTCCAGCACCTCCTGTCCACATTGTAATTCTCCTGTCTTCTCAAATGAATAGTTAACATATGTCAAGGATATAAGGCACACCTCGTGTCTAACTCTATTACTAGAAGAACCAATCTCAGCAGAAAATTGGAATCTTCCCACCAAGTTGCCCCAAAAATGAAATTTAGTAAGCACACACACAAAAAGTTAAATAGCTTTAATAAACATTTCTTGACATTTTATGATATATGTTATATGTGTGTATACGTGTGTATATGTATTTTTTTTTCTCACCTTAGTCCCTGAATTTTGCAAGTGATAAGAAAAATGATGTACAGAGAAGGGAAGTGACTTGTCCTGAGTCAACCAGATAAGTAATGATAAAGGCAGGATTAAAACCCAAATCTCCCAGATTTTCAGCCCCAAGTTCTTCTACTTCATCAAGTTTTTTTTATCCCTTGAAATCTCTGGAGCCCTTAGTCAAAATAATTAGTACCACAGAACTTTAAAGCTAGAAGGAGCCTCAGAGAGCATCTTACTTAATCCTCTCATTAGGCATATGAGGAAATTGAGGCCCAGAAAGATTAAGAGATTTGCTCACGATATCTTGAATGGCAGGGGAAAGGCATAATTTAAGCTGAAAAATCTGCAAACCAATGCCCAGGAGAAGAAAAGGATGTCTTGGCTGGAGAAAAACTTAAAAGAAATGTATTTTATTCTACACCAGGGGATCTCAAAGTATAGGCCTTGGACCAGCAGCTTTAACATCAGATGGGATCTAGTTAGAAATGCAAAATCTAAGTTCCCACAGGGGACTTACTAAGTCAAACTCTGGGGGTTGGCATGTTCAAAGCAGACAGTCCCTTATGTTGCAAGAAGTAAACTTCAGTAGCCAGACTGAGTTTACTTGTAAGTGATAACTACAATCAACAGCACTGAAGATTTACACATTCTTGGGGCTAGAGATGTGGTTCTGTGGTAGGGTACTTGCCTAGCATGCATGAGTCCCTGGGTTCAATCCCCAGCATCACCAAAAACAAAAGATCCACGCATTCTTCTATATGTGTACTATACACATCAAATTTAAAAGTTTGTTAAATCTGAAAACAAAAGGGAAAACTCGCTTGGGTGGTCAGGGGGCTTCAGTTCTGACTCTGCTCCTTCCTGACTGCCCTCCCAAGCTTAGCCTTCCTTATCTACAAAGCAGGCATGCCCCGCGCCCCCCCCCCCCCCCCCCCCCCCCCCCCCCCCCCCCGCTTCACAGGGCATGTTGAGAATCAAAGGTGACAACTTATCTGAAAGCACCAGTGCTCAGCAGCTGGCACACAGGAGACAGGCAGTATAGTACAATGGTCAGGAGCTCCAGCTACAGAATAAGACTGAATACTCTGGCCTAGCACTATCTGGCTAGCTACCTTCAGGTGGCACTTCCTTTGAACAACAGAGATAAAAAGCAGTTCCTTCCTCAGAGGTGTGCTATGAGAATTTAGAGATGATGCAGGTAAGCCATCTGTCTTTCATGTCTATAGAAAGTGTTGTTTCCAAAAAGTTCACATCCATAAATTCATCTGGTCTCTATGACTTTCCACAAGGGCATGAGTCCATCTGGTTAGTGTGGACTAGATTCCAGACTGCACCATCCTTTACAAACAGAAGTGGACACAGACCATACTAGAGGGGAAACTGCATGAATAGCGCATGTAGGGAATGAAGCAGGCTGGAAAGAAGACCAAGTGACGGTTTCTAATCAGCCACAATCCTGGCCTATAACCAAGTCCCTTATCATAGTGGGATTCACTTTTTATCCGTAAACAAGTGACTTGATGAAGAAATCTGTATCATTTCTCAGATAAACTTCAAATTTATCATGAGCCACACAGAAGCCCAACCATGGGCTGCCATCTGCCTACATCTCCAACTTCGTCACCTCCCCTTCCCTGCTGAATCACCAGGCTCCAGCCACAGGGCTCCTCTAACAGCTGCACCAGCTTCTACCTAGAGCCCGTGCCTGTTCTAGTGTTCCCTCTGCCTCTTTCACGTGACTGGCTCCTCTCAACCTTCAGTCTGTCCATTCCTCAGGCTCCTTTCCTGACCACATTATCTAAATAGGTCCTGTCCCCCTCTCTCAGGGGTTGCTTTCTACAACAGTGCTGTCCAAAAGAAATATAACAAATGCCACCAACTGAATTTACTTTAAATTTTCCAGTAGTTGCATTGAAAAAATGTAACATTAACTTTAATTTCTTTAACTCAATATATCTTAAGTATTATCATTTCACCATGTAACCAATATAAAAAGTAAGATTCTATTTTCATACTAAATATGTGAAATCCGTGTGTACTTTATGCATATACCAGAGTTCGATTCAGACCAGCCACACTTCAGGTGTTCAATAGTCATATGTGCCTAGTAGCCACCATACCAAATCACAGTTTTCTGGCAGACTCTTGGATATTTCCTTCATAGCACATTTCATGTTTGCTTATTTATTATCTGTGACTTCCCCATCAGACTTTCCTTTCAAATAAAAGCAAGAGCCTTATCTGTTTCATTTAATGTTTGTTTTTGTCAGTTTTTTTTTTTTTTGCTGCTGTGACTAAAGGACCTGACCAGCACAAATACAGAGGAGGAAGAGTTTATTTGAGGGTTCACAGTTTCATAGGTCTTAGTCCATAGAAGGCTGAACATCATGGCAAGAGAGTGTGGCAGGGGGAAACAACTCTCACATCATGGTCATCAAGAAGCAGAGAGAGAGAGACTCCACTCGCCAGATACAAATATATACCCAAAGCCACGCCTTAATTCCCACCTCCTCCAGCCACACCCTACCACTACAGTTGGCAGTTAATCCCTATCAGGAGATTAAATCACTGATTGGGTTAAGACTTTGACAATCCAATCATGTCTCCTCTGAACCTTCTTGCATTGTCTCACATGAGTTCTGGGGGACACCACAGCTAAACCATAACAAAGTGAACACAGCGCTTTGCACACAGTATGTATTCTAGAATATTTGTACACAAACAAATGAACCTCTTCTAACAATAACATTCTATGAATGAATCCATGGACTAGCCTTTCCACGATTCCCAAACAAGCACACAATCACTTATTCCTTTCTTGTTTCAACATCAGTTACACTCGTAAAAAGAAAAAGATCTTGGCCTTTTACCTCCACACTGCTTATAGGTTTTTTTCCCCTAGATGTCTGTGGTCTCCAGGGTTATTTATATATATATATATATAATTCACGAGGGAGTGGCACAAAAATCATTGCTAATGTTTATTGAATGTTTACTCCTTCATAAGCATTGGTCTAACCACTTTACATTTCTCAATGGCTTCTCAACAGCCCTTTGAGGTAGGTACCATCACTGCCCCATCTACAATGAGGAAACCAAGGCACAGACCTTAGTTCAAGGTTACCGCAGCCAAGTTTGTAGCAAAAGAGATGGCAAGCAACCTGGGGCTCCAGACTCAGGGTCCTTAACCATTTACTTTTACTTCAGAGCTATCCAGTAAAAAACATGAGGCCAACTATCCATGAAATTTACACACTAAAATTTGTAATTTTCTAGTAGATACATTTTTTAAAAGTCAACAGAAACAACTAAGATTGGCATTAAATGTATTTCGTTTCACCCATTAACTAAAATGATCATTGAATCAAATGATCAATGCAGCTGATGTGATGATGATCACATAATCAATACAAAAAGATTTTTTTCACAGTAAGTCTTCAAAATCCAGTGTGCTTTTAATTACAGTATTTCTCAAGTCAGAGAGTCACAGTTCACACGTTGCAGTGCCATGTTTAACTACTGACCACCAGACTGGACAGCCCAGCCCTACTGCCTCTTACAAGCAGCCTCTTTAGATAAACTCAAAAGAGGGGGAAAACAGTGGGGCTGAGAGCCAGGACAGCTGAGCTCCATCCTAGCTCTTACAGGACTGAGTGGCTTTAACCAAGTCTTTTTACCCTCTGGGCCACCTTTTCCCCACAAGTACCTTGAGCTGGGGGGGCAGGAAGATTCCCAGGGACCCTTCCCACGCCAGAATTCCAAACATCTCCCAACAAACGCAGCTAACAAGGGCACATGATTTAAAATCACCTTTCGCATCCCTCACTTTGTTTGGTCCTCAACCCTACTGCCTCCACTTTATAGATGCAAAAACTGAGACTCAGAGAGGGGGCAATCACTGGTCCAAATGTCACCCAGGCAGGGAAGTCCAAGCAAAATCAGGGCTCTCCCACCACCACTGCCCTCAAGCTCAATGCGGAGTCCGGGGGGAGAGCAGAGAGAGGATGACTGTGAACCTAGCGAGGAGCTGAGGGAAGCAGGCCCGAGAGTGGGGTGAGAAAAGGAGAAGGGGCTCAGGCCCAGAGAAAAAAAAGAACCCAAAAGGCCCAGGAGGTCTTCTAGGGGGAAGAGAAATGAGAGGCTGGAACCCCAGGTGGCATGCAAGTGAGGGGCCCAGGAATGAAAGGAGGTGAACTGAAGGGACACTGGCCCAGGGACCCCTGCCCGGGTGAGGGTAACCCCCCGGCACTCCCTGCCCCACCTACCTGGTAGCTCAGAAGTTCGCCCACGTCCATGGCTCCTGGCCCAGTCAACGCCGGTTACAAGAGTTCCCTCCACTCACAACCAAACCGCGGGCGGCTCAGCAGCTGCTCCAGCCACACTGCCGTGAAGTAGCAAGAGAAGTGCCTCAGAGCCAATGGGGTAAAAGCGCTCGAGACCGTCGAGTCGGCCACACTGCGGTAAAAGACAGTGCTACCGTAAAGCACGCAGCATTTGTAACCGTACTTCTTCCGCCTAGAGCCTTTAAAAGTGGGCGGAGACTAGGAGGGGCGAGACGGAGCGGGAGAAAGGACTGAAAGGATAGCAGACTTATTGCGCGCCCTTCTGTGCAGGGCGGAGTGCCAGTTCCCGCGCGCTCTTAAAACCATTCCAGGGACCTGGACAACTGTATCTTCGTTTCACAAATAAGGAAACTGAGACTCAGAACCGTACGGCACCCGAACTGAGATGTGCAACAAATGTAAATAAAATATACTCTGGATTTCTAAAGCTTATACTGATTACATGTTAAAATAATACATTGGATATATTGAATCAAATAAAATATTATAAAATCAATTTCACCTGTTCTCTTTACTGTTTTGCCTTTTACCTTTGGAATGTGCTTGGACATGTGGATGTCATTTGTGGTCCCCATGATAACTTCACTGAACCGTGCTTGCTTAGAAAATGACTTGTCCAAGGTCTGAGTTTCTACTCAGCTATGCAAGGCCCAGTGGGAACTGGATGATCTTGTGTCTTCCCAAGCTATGTAAAAAGGTTTTCTGGAGGAGAAAGTTGCCCATGGTTGGAAGAGATGCAAAGAGTGCATCTGATCTTCTGGGGCATAAATGAGGAACATCTTTAAAAGTCATTCTGCCATTACTATTCATATGTAAATCACTTTCCCAGTCCTATCTCAACTGTCTCCAATTATACAGAAATTCTTTATACTCCTCAATGCCAAATCCTCTCCTCCAAGTACAGAACCTCTTTCCTCATTAGTCTCATGCCTGGCACCCCTCCACTGCTTACAGATCTCAGTCTGTAATTTTTTACTTGCCTTCTCATTTACTGACAGCCTCATTAACTGGATCGCAAGCCCAACAAAAGCAGGGGTTATGTAAATCATGTTGACAGCTATATCCCCAAAGCGTAGTATAGTGCCTGGAAGGGAGACATTTTCACAATGGACTTTGTGGGCCAGGGAAAGGAGAACAAATTTTATGCTAACAGCATTTGGAAGCTGTTGAAATGTTTTAACCAGGGAAGTTCTGAGATCTGGTTCATGCTTTTCAAAGATGACCTAGGCAATCTACGTTGAACTCAGTCTATTTGGGTATCTTTTCTCCTCCTACTTAATATGAATGTAGATTTTGCATCATTCTGAGAAGCAGGACACAGTAATGTGAGAGTGTAACTTTTAGACACAGACCAGCTTGGATAGATAGGTTTGCATGTAAGCTGGTTGACTTCAGCTTGAAATCAGTCATGATGGGAGGATTTGCCTGATGGGATAAACAGGGATTGTCACTGTTTTCACTCTTCCAGAGACCCAGTTGTTCAACACCTACCGGCACACCCCTGGTTTGGGTGCTAGTCAAAGTTCTAGACATCTAGGTATTTGCCCTCAGGTAAGTTACTTCCTATCTCCCTAAATTGCAGTTTCCTCATCTGTAAAGTGATTCATTCATTCAGTATATACTGAGAGCTTATTCAATGCTAGGCACAATTCTGAGTTCTGAGAATACAGCAGCTTATAAAACAAAGTTCCTGTCTTCTTGGAGTCTACCTTCTCGCCGCAGAGAAAAACCTCATAGAGAAAATACTGTTCTGAGTCTCATTTTAAAGATGGGGACACAGTAGTGAGCAATCTCATCACTGCATGCCTGATTTTCCGGCCTCAAAGTGAGGATTCAACTGCATCTATCTCAGAGGTCTCGTGAGATGCTGCGTTCAAAGCACTCAGCACAGTGCCTAGCCCGGAAAAGTGCTCCATCCATGTCTGATGATGATAGGACACAGAGACGAGTGGGACGGGGCAGGAGAGATGGGGGCGAGGATGAGAGCATTCCTCAATCCCTTTCCTTCAGGTGTTCAGTCTGCATGTCTTAAACACAGAACCAAAGGCAGAATCCTGTGGGACCCAGGCTTGCTGAACGGGACGATGGACAGCCAGAGCCGGTGCCATTTGAACTGGAGTTTAAAGATGAGAGGAGTTCTCCAAGAGGACGTGGTGGCAGAAATGGAGGCCCAGCAGAGAGGAACAGCATGAGCAAAGACATGGAAATTGGACCATCTCCTGAAGAAGGAACGGGAGCACGTGATCTGGAAACAGTGGCTGGGGAAGCTCAGGGACAGGCTTAGCAGATTCAAACTTGAAATAAATACAGGACACCCAGCTAAACACCCAGATAAACAGTGAATATTTCCATATGAGTATGTCCCACGCAGTATTTAAGAACATACTCAAAACTTTCTTGTTGCTTGCCTGAAATTGAGCTTTCCCAAAACACCCTGCACTTTATCTGACAACCCTAATCAATGGAAGATCTTGAACACTATATTAAGGTATTTCTATTTTATCTTGGTGAGAAAGGCCGTTCATGATTCCTTGGGAATCCCTCCAGGGACACGCATCCTTCTAAGATAGCTCTGCCCGTCTCTTCAAGCTTCTCCATCAGCATGCCTGACCATTATCTGTAGATCGTGGGTGTTTCTCCATTTATTTGCTTCTTCTCTTTTGTCATCTACTTTCCCCTCCCGGATTCCAAGCTCCAGAAAGCTAGAGATCGCTGTCTTGTTCACCAAGACAACCTCAAAAATCTAACACCATCCCTGGCACTTAACACCCACTGAATAGCTGTTGATTTAATAAAAGCCAACCAATCCACTGATTCTTTCATTCCTGGCCCCAATACTATCCTCTACTTTCAAACCCCTACCCTAAATCCTAGCAATGCAATATTCCAGTTCTAAAGATAAGGACATGGAAATTCAAAAAGCTATGTGACATGTACCAAGCCATCTAGAAACATGTCCTGATGATGACTTCAGAGTGCTAGCCACAAGGAGGTTGAAAGGAGGGCATCCCTGGGGACCAGGTGACAGGCTATATCCTTTTAAAATTATTTTTATTGATTCATTATAATTATTCATAATAGTGGGATTCATTGTGACAAAAGGACTCTGTCCTTTTTTTAAAAAAAAAAAAGTAACGGGGAAGAATTATTTACATGAATTAAAAAGCTGTGGGCTAAATGAGATCCCTTAAGTCAGACATTAGGTACCCCACCATAAAATCAGTCCCTTTCATCTTTCATTGCCCAGGTAAACTACTTATTGAAACAGCCTTTAAGTATATACTCTAAAAAACACATGAAGCACATTTAGCACCAAATTTTTGTTGTTGTTAGCAGGGATAACCCAGGGGCGCTTACCACTGAACCACATCTCCAGTCCTTTTTTGCATTTTATTTAGAGACAGGGTCTTGCTGAGTTGCTTAGGGCTTCATTAAGTTGCTGAGACTGGTTTTGAACTCGCCATCCTCCCGAGCCATCAGGATTACAGGCATGCACCATCATGCCCAGCTCTAACCCATATCGAGCTCCTATCTTGCAGTCTTAGGCTGACTTGAGACATTACAACATTGCTAAAGAAAGTTTGTCCCTCCATTTAGGCACCAAATGGATAGGGAAGAGTCTCAGGAAAAGAGAAATATGATTTCTGGGGAGCAAAATGCAATTTCTGAGGCTCAGAGGGACAAGTCTGTATTCCCTCTGCTTCTCATTTCCAAGATCCATGTACGTGGATGCTCTGTACTCTAATGTTTTAAAATAATTGTAAAATCTTGGATGTAGAGAGCTTAGTCCTTGCCCACAGTCATGGTTAGTAACTGGCAAGACTGGCATTTCACGGCAGGGATTTGGAGTCGTTGCCTTTTCAAACAATACTCCCACCTGTGACCCAGGCACAGGGTACTCCTGAGTCCTCAAGGGTCGTTCCTCTCCCAGAAGGCACTGGTCTCGAAAAGACACACAGAGAACGGATGTTCTTAGGTACACTGGGATCCAAGTAAGAGCCGATATCCCTGCATATTCAATAATAACTATTTTGCCAGGAGGTGGCATGTGACAGTGGAATTGGGATGACATTGTAAAAGGATCTCACCTTTTAAACATGTTGACATGTATGTATGAAATGATCTGATGAGTGGAATTAGCTTCAAAATAATGGGAGCTGGGGTGGGTGTGTGTTAGGGTCTGTAAACAAGTCAGGATGGCGTCTGGCATTTTGCCAGAGGGAGTGGTTTGTGAAATAACGCCAGCGAGCCATTAAGTGTGGAGATTCCTTATTGGTTGACTGCTGTATCTAGTTTATGTTAATTAAGATAAGCTGTGTGTAAGGTATATATACCCCTCCTGTCCTACAATAAACGGCTCCCACTCCTGCTGTATCAATGTACACGAGTTGTTCGTCACCCCCCCCCCCGGGTTATTTTGCTGCAGCTGGACTGCGGCAGGTGTGGGCGTGGGTCAAGTACAGATGAGGGGGTTCTGGTGACTTTATGGCTGAAGGTGGGCAACGGCTACGCTGGAGCTCAATTTGCTCTTTTCCTGGTGGCAACGGGATGGTAACACCAGCTCCAGGCACAACAACCTCAAAGAGGAATCGTCTTTTCTGGAGCTCTGCTTCTCTCTGGAAGGAAGGAGAAGGAAGAGAGGGGCTGGTGGGGGCCAGCGGGGTCTGTTGCACAATGGAAGGAGTCCATGGTCAAGTACGTGGGACTGGAAAAGCTACGGAACTAGCACTGGCAGTGGCTCACTAGGATGTGACGAGTCTCATGAAGTCCCTAATTCTGAGATGCTCTTCTTATCCACTCCCCACACCAGTGACCCTCACGCGTCCAGTCTTCCCGAGACGCTTTAGTGATAAGGTGTCGGGGGGACTTCTTGTGCCATCACCAACGGGGATCAGTGGATCCACGTTAGTCCAGACCACTCTGACCTGGGAAGTACTGTGGTTTCTCCACGAGAATTCTTGTGCTGGAAACTTAATCCTCAGAGCCACCTAGGAACTGTGTTTGGAAGTGGGATCCTCGGGAGGTGATTGGGTCACAGATACTCTGACCTCATGAACGGATGAGTCCATGTATGGATCAATAATTGATCAAGGGAGTAGGTTAGTTATCACACAGGTAGGTCTG